GTGATTCCTTTAAGAGCAGGCTTCCTGACTCAGCATTAGTGACAAAACTGCGTGACTTCTTTAAGAGATGGCTTCCTGGTTCATGCTGGCAGCACAAACTCTGCTCTTTCGGGAGGTTCTTAACTGTGGTTTGTGAGCAGCATGCCACTAGTTGCTTAATGGTGACATAGACCTGCTGCATCCCTAGAGCTGGAGTGGAGAGCATGGCTTGCAGAGGTGGTGACCATGCCTCCGTCGTGTTGGACTGAGCAGAACCAACAATCAGAGCAGCCTTGGTCCTAGTCACATCCGCTTAGCAGGAAAAAAAGGCACTTCTGGTCAGAAAATGATTATAGATACGCAATAAAGACAGATTCAGATGAAAATAAACCTCTAAACAAGACACAGTGTGTAAAAATATATACATAGACTTGGGAGAGAGAAGAAAAGAGTATAGACAGTTATAAAAAGAAATAGTTTTAAAAATGAAATAAAGTCTTTAATGAGACAGTAAAAGTAACATAAAAGAGTATAAACAGTCATAGATTAAAGGAGTAAAGAAAAATAAACCACATAAAGATGGAATATACAGAGTCTGGATTATGTATATTATTGTGTTTTCTTTCATTCTTTTGACTGCAGAGAGACATTTGATTCTGGGGGCTGCTAAGCTAAACCAACATATATATCTTAAAGGTATCTTGACTTCAAAATTTGAGTCTAAGTATATGTTACTTTGGAAAAGAAGTTCTACTTTTGTTTCCACAGAGGATGGGAACTTGTGGAATCCTTCCAAGCTAATGTGGTTTGATGGACCAAGACCCCTGAAAGGTCACTGTGAACACCTCCCCCCCAATACTTTGTCCAACAAACAGCAGGAAGCAGCTTGGAGAAACCAATGCCCAAATTCCCAAAATGATTGTTTATAAATGTTTATTTTCATTTAAAGAGGGATGTGATATAGAGATGGATACTTTGCATTGGTACGGATCTTGGTCTATTGATACAAATTTAAGGTTGATTTTGTTACACTCTATATATTTCTGTTCTTGTTTAAGGTATTGTGTTTGTGCAGCTCATTTAAAAATGTAATACATAGTTAAGAAATACAGATTAATCAGATAATATCATAATCAAACTTTTAATTATATTAGTTATGTTTTCTAGATATACAGAGATATATTTCAATTAAATAGATAATCTTCAACATTTCAAAGGCCTACCAAATATGGCATTTAAAATATTTTAAGAACTTAGACTTTTCTTGACAGTGAGACATGTCTGCTTCTGGCAGCACCAATCTACTTCAAAAGAATGATGGGCATCAAAGACGCTCCCTATGGGGTTTGCTAGCCATTTGGGCAAGAAACTGTTCTTGTCTGAACAGCTTGATGGTGTGCTGTATGAACTTGATATGCAAGACCCACGGAAAAGTGACTGCTGAATTTTTCAAAAGATGGAATAGTCCTTCAGGGTTCCTGTTTCACAGAAGGCGCTGCCAGACATTCTGCAGGACACAGAAGAAAGTGACTGACAAACTGCCAATATAGATGGAACAGATCTTCAAATTTCCTGCTTCACTGAAATGTCTGCCAGATATTTAGCCTATGGACCTGTAGGCTAAAGACTAGATGCCCCAACGTTACAAAAGAACTTTGTGTGACTGTCCAGGTCATGAGATGTCTCTGTCAATACTAGAGTTTTGGAAGTTGCTTTCAATGCACTTCTTGTTTGCTTAGGTAATATAGCCTTCTGGAGTCTTTGAAGAGTGGAAGACAGATAGTTATAGTTTTCCTTAGTTATGATAAAAGATAAATTAGATATGAAACTTTAGATTCACAAAGAGAGGATAAATGATAGAGTATTTTCCTTAATTTGCCTAATGTAAATGGACTAAATATTATAAATATAATTCTTGCTTAATAACTGTTTTGTATATGTAATTTTACTATGTTAAAGTTAAAACCTTACTTTTTATTTAGACAGAAAAGGGGAGATGATGTGGGATATCCTTCTGGCTAATGAATAAAACTGCTTTGACCTATGGCAGGGCAGAATATAGCCAGGCTGAATATATATATATACACATGACCCTCTTGCTTGGGTCAGTTTTCTCTCAGGGTCAAGTTGGATGTTCTGTTTCTTGCAAGGGGTAAGACCCACTCTGCCACTGTGAGCTCCGTGCTGCCATTCCCTGTGATATGAAAGCTGCCATGTGAACGTTTAGGGCTGCATTTTAGTTAGCTGAAGCTTCTCGAATGACAGAGTCCGTGTCCTTCAGTGGAGCTTGGACTTTGTCCCAGCCAACTGACACTGCTGTGACACCGGGGACTGTTCACAGTGGCTGTAACAGGGCCTCTGGAGAAAGAAAATGTGGGAGGCCACACAGCCCACAGTCTTGCTGCCTCTCTATCCCCTCCCCCAAGGTTAAGTCAGCGGCCTCCCAATCCCACACACTTGTTCCCGTCTTGTCTGGCATTCGTTGATTCCCATCGAAGTTTACATGTCACCTCACTGAATTCTGTGTGTGTCAAGGCTGGGAAGGAACTGCGCTGTTGTGATGTCTCGACAGGGACACAGCGTAGGAGTGTGGAAGAGAAAACAGGAAATGTCTCCTCACTCACACTGGTCTCCAAACCAGGACCCTGATGTGTAGTTGGGAATCTCTTCCGGGGTTTACAAGGCTGAAGGAACACGCATGCCCACACGACAGAGCAGGCTGTGTTTGCCTGTTCTCACTTGGATTGTTTTTTTCCCCCACATGCTTTTGTTACTTATTCAGCTCAAACCTCATTTTAAAATGTTTTAATTGTGGTCTGGAGAGATGGCTCAGTGGGTAGGAGCCCTGCTGTTCCAGAGACTTCCGGTTGATTCCTGGCACTCTCCTGGTGGCTCACAGCTGTCTGTAGCTACAGTTCCAGGGAATCCAATGCCTGTTCTGGCCTCCGTGGGTGTCAGGCTCACATGTTGTACACAGACATGCTTGTAAGGGAAACAGCCGTACACATAAAAACAAAAAAATAATTACAGGAGAATGTTTTAGTCCTGTCTCTACCAGCAATTGCATGTTAAAATATTTTTATCAATCCATTTATTGGGGAGGCACAGGTGTGCCATGACTCCTGTGGAGGTCAGAGGACAGCTTGTGGGAGTCGGTTCGCTCCTTCTGCCATGTAAGTCCCTGGTATCAAACTGAGGTCATCTGGTTTGGTGGTCAGCATTTCCCCCCCCCCCCCAGTCTGTTGGGAGGCAGAGCATGGTGCCCCGGAAGTCAGAGGGCACTGGAACAAAGCAGTTCATCTCATGCTGTGCTAGCCAGGAAGTACACAGGAAGAGGCTGGGACACGACCCCAGTGACTACTTCCTGAAACAAAGCCACTTCCTAGTCTCCCTCACCCTTGTGTGTGTGTTGGGGGGCGGTTCCATATGTTGGTGGCCAGAGGTTGACTTTGGGGAGCTATCTTCTATTACTCTCTACCTTATTCACTGGCACAGGGTCTCAGTTGAACCCAGAGTTTGCCAGTTTGACTAGTTTAGCGAGCCAACTTGTTCTGGGGATCCTTGTCTCTTCTTTCCAAGCCCTAGATTAACAGGTGGGCCACCACACCCACCCAGCATTTGTGTGCACGTTCCGGAGACCAGAACTCTGGTCTTCCTGCTTGCAGCAGTAGGTGGTTTAACCGCTGAGCCATCTCCCCAGCATGACATTCCAGTTTCTACCCTCACTCCCCCTACTATGAATTGCTTCAGGGATTAATCCATTGATGAGCATAAAGCCTTCAGGATTCAGTCACTGCCCCAAAGCCTATCAGCTGACAGCCAGGGCTTTGTGGACACTGCAGATTCAAACCTTACAGCATCCTTCCTGTCTGGCAAAAGGGCCCTGCATCAAATCAGCACCAGGAACAAGCGACTGAACGACCAGAATGCTCCTGAAGAGAGTACAGAGCACACTTCCCCCAAGTTAGGCCTGTTCTTACTGTTGAGGTGAAGTTCAAGCAGTGTACAACTGGGCACCTGAAAGTACACAGTGAGGATTGGCATTCGGTCACAGTGTTGACTCCCCCCTCCCCCGCCCGCCACACACCCGGGCAGTTGCCAATCTGTTTCCTTTCTGTGGCACATATATGTGAACTTTTGTGTCTGGCTTCCTGCCCTAGTGTCACGTTCTCAGGGTGCCTGTGTTGTGGCATGTGTCAGTGCGTCTTTTCTCTTTGCGGAAGAATGCATAGTAATGATGCTTTGCTCATGTATCAGAAATGAATAAAAATGAATTAATTCAGCTGTGCCTACTAGCTCATAACTGTAATCCCAGCACTCAAGAGGATCATAATTTTGAGGCCAGCCTGGGCTACAGAGCAAGCCCCTGTCTAAGAAACGAGATGACCTAGCCTTTAAGAGGCTACTTGTGCTGAGTTCAGTTCTTAGCATCCACGTCTGGCAGGTCACCTGCTTGTAACTCCAGCTTTATGGGATCCGATGCCTTCTTCTGGCCTCCACAGGCCATTCACGTACATATATCTGTGCGCACATACACATAATTTTAAAAATAAAATAAATATTTAAAAAAGAATAAATTGCCAGGTGGTGGTGGCACTCAAGAATACAGAGGAATTCCAGGAATACACAGAGAAGCTCTGTCTCAACAAAACAAAACAATACAAGGACTGGAGAGATGGCTCAGAGGTTAAGAGCATTTATTGCTCTTCTAGAGGTCCTGAGTTCAATTCTCAGCAACCACATGGTGACTCACAATCATCTGTAATGGGGTCTGATGCCTTCTTCTGGCCTGCGGGCATACATGTAGATAGAACACTGTATACATATTAAATAAAATAAATCTTAAAAATATATGTAAATAAAAATAAATTATTTGGACACGAATGTTAATTAGACATGAACATTCTTTTGCTTAGAGAGATCATACTTTGTTATGTTTGTGGAAGGTTCAGCCCTGCCGCAGCCTCACTGGGAAGCCAGGCATCCCTCGGCAAGTGCCGTCCCTCTGTCCTGTTTTTCAGAATCCCAGTGCACACCATATTTGACAGCTGTCCAGAAGGTAATGGCATAAGGTCGATAGCCATCACCCATGACGCCAAGCTTCTGGCTACCATCTCTGATGCTGAAATCCAGGTAAAGTGGCCTTTGGGTAGACCTCTCTGAGCTGGCCAACATTGCCAGATGTCTTTGCAGCCACCTCCGTACAGGCCACCTGGTGTGTGTGTGTGTGTGTGTGTGTGTGTGTGTGTGTGTGTGTCTAGGATACTCAGGCTTCACAGTGCAGCGTGGCAGCGGGCGGGGGAGCGGGGGAGCATGCCTAGGACTCAACTGTTCCTTTGTTCAGTTAGAAGCCTCAGGTAGGATTTCCATAGCCATGGGTTTCTCCTTGCACCCTCGGTGGCCTCAGAAGTCCTTTGCTGTGCTTTCCTTGCAGAAAGTGTGCATCTGGAAGTGGACCTTGGCAGTGGAGACGCCTGCATGCACCCTTGAGCTTCCCAAAGAGTATGGTTTCCAGGTGCGTTGAGTTTAACCCTGTGAATGCTGGCCTGTGCTTACTCTGAGGCTGCTCCGCGGGGGCTCTTTACGTTAGTGGGTTTCCTTGTGGAGCAGGAGGGCTTTGGACCTCATTTTATCCTTCCTAATAATAGCTAATATGTTTGACACACTTGCTACGTCCTAGATTCTGCTCAGTTCTTTACTTATGTTATCTCCCATAATCCGTGCAAACATGCCAGTGAAGAGTTACTGCTGTCTATGGACTACCACCATTAATTATTAAATACTCTATCTAAAGCCGCCCCGCCAGCAGCCTTCCTTATTCAGGAGCAGGTGCTCTGCTGTTTCGGACCTTGCAGCGAGTTGTTGAGATAAACGGATAGATACATTGTTGTCAGCTCGCCAAGGCCTGTCTAGGATGCCCTGAGCACTGACCTCAGGCCTCTGTGCCCCACGTCAGGGCTCTCTGCTTCTCTTCTTCTCATTCTCCCTCCCTTAAGTTTAGAGGGGACTGGGTCTGTGCTCCTTGGGTCACGCATCTGAAACCCAGAGTATTGAGGAACTAACTCAGCGAGGCTCAGATCCTCATGCTCAGATCACATGTCCAGCTGCCCCATTTCCACTATCCTGTCAATCACTCAGAAAAATAAATGCTTCTATTTTAAAATTTGCACTGATCCAACAGCCAGCCACATGTGGTTATTTAGGCTTGGGGTGTGTATGCGTGTGAGCGTGTGTGTGTGTGTGTGTGTGTGTGTGTGTATGTGAAGTGTGCATGTGTGTATGCATATGTGGAGGCCATTAGGATTTATGTCTGGGATTATCCTTCATTGCTCCTCTACCTTACTCATTGGGCCAAGGTCCCTCAATCAAACCCAGAGCCAACTGATAGGATTAGTCCTGCTAGCCTAATTCTGGGAATCCCCCATCTCTGCCTTCTGAGGCTGCAATCACATAAGCAGGCCACCACGTCACTCAACATTTACATAGGTTCTGGAGATCCCAGCTTCTGTCCTCAGCTTGTGTGGTAAGCACCTTTAACTGCAGACCTCTCCCTAGGTGCGCTGTTTAGTTTTTGTTAATTGACGCCAGCCTAGACATACCTGGGCAGTTGCCTTCATCACGTTGACCTGTGGGAAAGTGAGGCATTTTCTTCATTGCCAATTAATGTGGGCGGGCTCAGCCCGCTGTGGGCAGTGCCATCCGAGGACAGGTGTGCCTGGGCTGAACCGAAAGCAGGCTATGCAAGCCACGAAGAACAAGCCAGTGACCAGCGATACCCTGGAGCCTTTGGGTCCTGCCTGTGTCCTCCTCCCACCTGACTCCCTTCACCCCCAGCCCTCCCCACCCCCACTCCCCTCAGTCAAACCCCTCCCCTCTCCCAGTTGCTTTTGGTCACTGTTGTATCACAGCAACGGAGAGCAGACTAGGACACCAGTCTCGGGCTCGGCATCCTTGAGACAGGTCCTGCCTGTGTCGCCAGGTAGCCTTGAACACAAAGTGGCTTCGGGTCTAGGCCTCCCCAGTGTGGGATTTGCAGGTGTGTGCTGCCACAGTTGGCTTCAGGTTTTTCAGTTTGTTTCTGTGCAAAATGCCTTTAGGACTTTCCCCGCTGAGTCTGTAGATCACTTTGTGAAGTATTGTCATCTTAATTATATTGTTTTCCAGCCCACAGCACACCAGGTGTCCCGCTGTTTGTTTATGCCGTCTTCACTTCCTTTTGGGGCAGTGCTTTGCAATTTCGAGTGTACAAATCTTTTCCCTCCTGGTTAAATTTATTCCTACGCGCATATATATATATATATATATATATATATATATATATATATATATATATATGTGTGTGTGTGTGTGTGTGTGTGTGTGTGTGTGTGTGTGTGTGTATACTTCCCCCCCTCTCTCTTTCTGGTGCTTTTGAAAGTCGATTCGCTTCCCTAATTCCCCTTTTCAGGTTGTTCACGGCTGCTGTGTAGAAACACAGCTGGATTCTGCCTCTTAGTTTTGTGTCCTGCAACTTTGCCAAATGCACTACTTAAATTTAAACTGATTGCAATGAACTCAAATGAGGAGCGTGGTTATCCAGCTTTTACTCACCACATTTTAAGCTCTCTCCAGCCGCTGGGCTGGGGGGTGGCTACAGAATTTGATACATTCCGCCACAGAGAGCTCAGGTTGGTCCAGGGGCTGAAGCCACTTCTACCTTCCCCACAGCCATTCCTATAGCTGGCAGCTGACAGCATTCCTCAGATGTCATTGAGAGGATGGGGACCATGAGGGTCAAACACTAGCCTGTCCCCATTCCCACACGTGTTTTTTTGTCCCTTTTACTGCCCCGTGAAAGGCTAGCTCACTAGACCTCTTGGTCTCCTCTGGCAATCTTCCCCTGGAGCCTCCACTCTGCCTCTCCTTAACCCTGAACCAGCACAGGGCAGATTACATCACTAGTCTCCAACCAGCTCCTGTGGGCCCTGTATCTCCTAACTCTTCACCTTGGTCCTTGTCTTAGGGTTTTTTATTTGTTTGCTTGTTTTATTGCTCAGAAGAGACACCATGACCACGGAAACCCTTGCAAAGAAAACATTTAATTGAGATTGCGGCTTACAGTTTCAGAGGTTCAGTCCATTATCATCACGATGGGGAGCATGGTGGTGTGCAGGGAGACATGGTGCTGGTTACATCTTGACCAGAAGACAACAGGAAGTTGACTGTCAGTCATGCTGAGGAAAACTTGAGCAAAAGAGATATCAAAGCCTGCCCTCACAGTGACACACTTCCTCCAACAAGGCCACACCTCCTAATAGTGCCACACCCTTTAGGGGTCCTTTTATTTCAAACCACCACACTCTTTTTCACATAAAATATCTAGAAGGGAGCTAGTAAAATGGCTGGGTAGGTAAGAGCAAACCTGAGGGCCTGAATTGAACCCCTGGAACTTACAACAGGAATTGATCCAACTCCTGAATGTAGTCTTCAGACCTCATTATAAGGGCCTGCAGTCACACACATAATGCATAATATACATTTAAAAAAACCTTCTAGAAGAGATCTCTCTACTTCTTTCCTCTATTTTGAATCTCACCTTCACACATCCTTCCTTCCTTCCTTCCTTCCTTCCTTCCTTCCTTCCTTCTTTCTTTCTTTCTTTCTTTCTTTCTTTCTTTCTTTCTTCCAGACTGCCTTCTACCTCGGAAAGTTTTGGCTTCTTAATGTTTAATTTCATAATAATTATAACTGTGTCACATGTGTTTGGGGGAAGCCGCATGTGCTGAAATCAGAAGACAGCTCTGTGGATTCAGTGCACTCCGTCCACCTCTACGAAGGCTCCAGGGATTGGGCTCAGGCTGTCAGGCTTGCGCAGTAAGCACAGGCATTTTTCCTGCTGAGCCATCTCGCCAGCCCCGTTTCTTTCACTCACCTTACTTTGTGACGCTGGTCACAGCTTTTTTTCTTTTTTCTTTCTCATTTCTGACTGGTAGTGCCTTGGGTGTGTCAGCTGCTTGTTTATCCTGTTAGTGGGCATTTAGGGCTTTTCCTCCTCGTGACCAGTCAGAGCAGATGCTTCTATGACACAAGCCTTCCCTTCTCATCCTTTGTTTTATTATTTAGTTTTGAAGGCTATTTCCCCTAAATGACGACCAGTCTTGTAACCTTTAATCCCGGCACATGGGAGGCAGAGGCAGGTGGATCTCTGTGAGTTCCAGGCCAGCCTGGTCTACAGAGTTAGTTCCAGAGCAGCCTGGTCTACATAGTGAGCCCCTGTCTCAGGGGAAAAGAAAAAGAAAAAAGAAACTAAAAGAAGCAGAGCAATTATTTACAGTTTTGGAGATAACTTTCTTGACAGAAAAGACACTTTAAATAGAAAGTACCCTGGCCAAAACCGGTTTTCAGATGTGGGAAGGTCTGGTCCAAGCCTTGGGTCAGTCTGCATCACCCCTGTGAGTCCAACACAGGCATTGACGGTTCACACTTACACTGTAGATAGGGCAAACGATTGGCAAGGAATAGGCCTGGAGGTGGGGGAGTGGCGGGGGTGGGGCAGAAGCAGCTTGCTCGGCCTCACGGTTTGCAAGGCCTCTCGCACCAGCATCCCAGGTGGCAGCTCCTGCTCCCTGCACAGGCTCAAATCTTCCAGCCCGGTTTCTATCCCATAACTGTGGCCGTTGTTTGGTTTCTGCTTCTAGCGTTTCCCTCACTACAGTTTCTGTGGCGTCGATTTTTGGGAAGGGTGCCAACTACTCACGCCATACTGTCTTGGCAGCAATCAGAATTCCCTCCCAAAGCCTCATATTCATTCCAAGATCTCTTGTGGCCCTGTCAGTCCCTGAAGTGTGCGCTCGTCAGCCTTTGTCTGAAAAGGCACAGAATAGAGATGGTTAGAGATGGGGAGAGGCTGTGTTCAAGGGTGAAGTGCAGTAGCTGTGGTACCCGGGTTCACTGCCCAGTGGGCTGTGCGGGAGGAGAGAGCAGACCAATAGCTAAATGGTGGATACAGCTTATTCTGTGCTTGCTACGGATGATGCCTTGTAAAGGGAGTGCATCTTACACTCCTTCCTCAAAGCCAGAACTTAAACGCTCTTCTTCTTCTTTCCCAGGTTCCAAGTCTTTTGCATTTTTATGTCTAGCCCTACTCAGTTATTTGTTTTAATTAAAATTAGTATTTAATTGTAACACTCAGCTGAAGCAGTGAGAAACAGGTTTGTTTTCATGTAACACATTTTTATGCCTTATGCTTCAGAACTACCTCACCTTCAACCCAGCGAGCAATAGGGAGCTGGTGAGCAACAGCAAGACGCAGGCCGTCTATTACTCCTGGGTGAGTTGCACAGGGGTCTCAGACTGTGGGTGTTCAGTTTCTGAATACAGATGGTCCCTAGTATAATAACAGTGCATCTCTTTAGGAAGCAATGAACATATATTTAAGCGTTTTTATTTAATTATGGTATTTATCTTAGTCTCATTGGGAATTAGCATATTAAATTAGAAGCAGATAATTAAACTTCATTTAATTTTTTAAGGCAATGAGGCAAATATTTATTTGACTATATCTAATAGGTCCGAAAGATGGGGGCTTGTTTGGTTTTGTTTGTTTGTTTGACACCTTGAACTCTATTCCAAATTTCAGAAAGGATTTCTCTTCTCTTCTCTTCTCTTCTCTTCTCTTCTTTTCTTTTCTTTTTTCTTTTTTCTTTTTTTTTTTTTTGAGATAGGGTTTTCTGTGTAGCCCTGGCCGTCCTGGAACTCACTCTGTAGACCAAGCTGTCCTCAAACCCAGAGGATATATATATATATTTTTTTTAAGTAAAAAATAGTTATTTATTATTTGACAATTTCATCCATGAAAACAATGCATCTTGGTCATATGCATCCCAAGTCCCTCTCCACCTGCCTTCAGGAATCCCCAACTCTTCCCTCCCCTTCCTTTCAGCAACCCTCAACTTCTCCATCCACTCCCCCAAAGTACCACAACATGCCCCCCCCATTTCATGTCATTTATTTATTTATTTAATGAGATTAAAGAAACACACAAACAGCCGCAGCGGAATACAGATGGACTTTAACTCAGCTCCTAGGTGCTCACCTTACAGACCTGCAAACAGGCACTCAATCTACCTAAGAAGTCATAGCAGCAGCGCTCTTACCAGTGACCAAAGTGCTCTGCGCACTTGACTGTGGCCCTGCATGCCTTTAATCACAGCACTCAGGAGGCAGAGGAAGGATCTCTGAGAGTTCAAGGCCCGCACAGTCTATAGAGTGAGTTCCAGGACAGCTAAGGATACATAGAGAAACCCTGTCTCAAAAAAACAAATAAACAAAAAAGAAGAAACAACACAGTTTGGTTATCAAGTGTATGATTCCATTTATATGGAACGTCGTACTAGGTAAGTCCACAGAGACAGGGAGTAGGGTTATGGCTGCCAAAGGCTGAGCAGAGCAGGCAGGAAGTGGTCGCAGGTCTCCCTGGGCTGACAGAAATGGTTGTTAAGCAGCATTATGAATATCATTCACACCACTAACGTGGACACCTAAGGAAATGCATTTGCCTTAAAAAAGGAGAAGTAAACAAAGCAAAACCAAAGACTGTTGAAAGGTTGCATGTCAGTAACATTTACTGCTTTGTGTGTTTATTTTCATTTAAAGCCCCATTAATGTAGAGCTCAGATTTGCATTAACCACCACACAGAGGCACAATCATGCCTGGCTTTTAAATAGATTTGTGTTTCTTTTCAAATGTTTTTAGCTATTCCCCAGGTGACAGGTTTTCTTCCTATGGGAACTGCAGTCCTCTGATCCCATTTGGGCACATTCGCTCTGGTTTAGTTAGCACGTAGTGCCTGTCTTGGCAGCTTAGTCTTTAAATAGTAATGTCTTTTTCTGTGCTTTTCAGCTTGAAGAGAAGGGTATACTTGCTCACAGTGCCCCGATTTTAACAGAAAAAGTGAGTATTCCTGTTGGATTTTCATGTCAGACACCATGAACGGGAAATGCGGATGTGCTGACTTGGTGGGTGTGGGCTTGCCTGGATCCTTTGTCCATAATGAATCGTCTTGTTAAAAATAATAGAAGCCTTGTAAAAATAAAATAAAATAAAATATTATGGGAAAAGATGTTATTAGTACGAGGAAATATTGAGAGATGGTTAGATTTTGTAATGTGCCTGTGTCTATTGACAAAGAATGAGAGCTAAGGGCAGCAGAGAGCCTGCAAAGGGAAGAAATGAGCTGAGTGAGCTGGAGGAAAGAGTTTCCCTGGGCTGGGTCCCCAGGGCTGCAAACAAAGGAGCACACTCCTCGGGAAGGCTACTGTGTCTGTCTGCAGACTTTGTTCTTGTGGGCATGACTCCTGGCGGCCATATCTCATAAAGCCCCTGTGAATAATGAATTAGGAAGTGGTGGACCATTGCTGCTGAGGGAATATGGAAGTTGGTTTCTGTAAACTGGTGCCATGTTTCCAGTTGATGAGGGCATAACCATGTTTCCTGTAGGCTTCTGCTTTAAAGATCCTTTTTAGATGTAACATTGAGGGTGTGATGGCTCGTGCTTGCACTTGGAAGACAGAGGCAGACAGATCTTTGTGTTCAAGACTAGCCTGATTATACAGAGTGAGTTTCAAGACATCCAGGACTGCACAGTGTCTCAGACAAAACTAAACAAATCCCTGAGGGCTGAGAACATAGTTCAGTTGGTACAGTGCCTGTTCACCATGCGTCTAGAAGAAGGGAACCTCAATTGAGAAAAATGCCTCCATAAAATCCAGCTATGAGGCATTTTCTTAATTAGTAATTGATGGGGGAAGGTCCAGCCCATTGTGAGTGGAGCTGGACCTGGGTTCTATAAGAAAGCTGACTGAGCAAGCCATGAGGAGCAAGCCAGTGAGCAGCACCCTCCATGGCCTCTGCTTCAGCTCCTGCCTCCAGGTTCCTGCCCTGTTTGAGTTCCTGTCCTGACCTCCTTCAGTGATATACTACAGTATGGAAGTGTAAGCCAAATAAACCCTCCCTCCCCAAGTTGCTCTGGTCATAGTGTTCCATGACAGCCATAGAAGCCATAACTAAGACATAAATCTAGAATTTTCTTGCAGAGTGCAATGGACAGCAGATTTGCTGTGGTATGTGATAGATTTCTGAGTTTCCTTCCTTCCTTCTTCCCTCCATAAATCCACTGCGGGCTTCATCAGAGTTCATTTCTTCTTCTCTATATATTTTAAAAGAATTCTGTAGCATGAATAATAAAAACTCAGAGACAGATATTGGGGTTAAAGCTGAAGATCAGAAAAGCAAAACATCCAAGCCATTAGAGAAGCCTTACCTCTACCAAGGCTGGGCGACTGTAGCCTGAGCCTCTGTCTCCCCCTGTCTTAAAGGTGTGAGCCACCACCTCCTGGATCTGTTTCTGCATTGGTCTTGTGTAGCCCAGGGTGGCCCTGAACTCACAGAGATCCATCTACCTCTGTCTCCCAAATCCTGGGATTAAAGGTGTGTGACACCACTGCCTGGCCTCCAGTGGCTTAGTTTTACTTTCTGGTCTGCAGGCAAGCTTTATTAAAACATGAATAAAATATCACCATATTTCCCCTATGTGTCTAAAATTAAAAAGACTAATATAAGAAAAACTATATATAATAAATAAAATAACTATATACATTATATAAGGCAATAAATATATCAATGATCTCTAGTTCATTTGCATTTGACAAATATAGAGAAAATACTCCATATCTATCCTATCTTGGTGAGTCCAAAATCTTGTACCTAATTTACTTTCTATCTTAACTTGATTTCTGTATCTGGTAAACAAGGAAAATGGTAACTATCTAGTCTTCAACTCCTTCAGAGACCCACTAAGGAAATAATATTAAGCAGGAAGTGCAAGCAAGAGACTTCCAAAAACTGTGAGAAATGTCAGAAACAGTAGGCTACTGGACAGCCACCCAGAGTTTCTCTGCAATGTTGAGGCATCCACCTTAAGCCTACAGGTCTAGAATATCTGACAGACTTTTTATGAAACAGGGTTTTTGAAGGACTGTCCTGCCTTGTCTGGGCAAGGTTTAGCAGTCACTCTCTTCTGTGTCCTCCTTGTCCCATTAGGACAGCATACTGCCCAGAAGTTGAAGCAAGGACATTTTCCTGCCCCATGGCTTACTTTTGCCACAAAGAAAGCAAATTCCATATGAAATTTCTTTGTTGCCCATCATCTTCTCTGAAGTAAATTAGTGCTGCCAGAAGCAGACATGTTGTATTGTCATAAAGAAAGAAAAAAGTACCTATGTTATTAAAACATCTTAAATGCCATATTCTGTAGATCTCTGAAGTGTTTATTGATGACCTGACTATTTAAAACATATCTCTGTTTGACCTTGAAAACATACCTAATGCGACTACAAGTTCAATTGTAATAGGTGACTAATTACTAATCTGCATTTTCTTATTATCCTAAACAGTTGGTAATAATAACTTTCAAGGACTAGAAATTTATATTACATTGTTAAATGAGTTGTATAGGTACAATACCTTGAACAAGATTAGAAATGTATGTTCAGTCTGTTTTAACAAAATTAGTCTCAAATTTATATCAATATACAAAATTTGTATACAACGTACAAAATTTCAATTCAATGTTAAATCTTTAAAACTAGTGGTTGCTTTTTTAGGAGTAGATTCAATAATCTACCTTTTTATCTTATCTATCTATATCCCCCTTTTTTCAAGAACCTTGACTCTAATTTTCTTTGTTTAGATTTTTTCCTGACCGTTACCAATAAAAACTTGTAACCAATCCCCCTAAACAATGTCAAATATCCATAACCCATTGAACAACCAAAAATCACCCACCCCACCTCTTGGGAATGTGGGCATCATATTCTTAAATTTACTTCTTGCTGTCTGGGGGTGACAGTGTCTTTGAGGATCCTGAAAAGAAAATTTGGGGTTAATTGTCAAGTCCTGGGAGAGGTAGCTGCATCATTTGTTGTCCAGTCTCTGCATAATGAGAAAGTGCAGGGCTTGTTTCAAGTCCTGGCTAGACTAAATCATCTCAGCTAGCCACCTCAAAATTGTTCTGAGCAGTTTGTAGTCCAAAAGTGAATCTTTAGGTGGTCTTTTGCAGTTTAGTGATGTTATCTTAGTCCTGGAGGAATCATTGTTGTAGGGTCCCATCCTCCTTATGGAGGCTTCAAGGATCACCATTAAGTGTGCTCATGGTTCACTGCAGAAAACTGACAGAGACTCAAACCTGAAATCATGTACATGAAGGTAGACGAAACCTTTATCTAGAATTAGTTAGTGCTCTGTGTGATCATTAATATCATGATGAAAAGTTTATATATAAATATAAATATATATAAATCTGATAAATCTTATACCTTAAGAAAAGCTGTTAAAGAGTCAATATAAAACCAAAGGTTTATGAGATTAGTGACAATAAAGGAGTCCTTAAGTATTTGTTTTTCTTCTGTCCCATATCAAGTGGCTCTTCTGACTGAGGCAGAGATTTTGGATTTCACTTTAATAAACATGTTTGGGATTAGAGAAGGAGAGAGCCACACTCCAACTCCAAAGCCAGCTTTAATTTTTAATTAAAAATTCAGATCAAATGGCCATGGTTCTTAATGAACTGTCATCTCTTCTAATTAAAAGAAGCTTCTTATTCAAATTTAATCTTTATCAATTTTGTTGATATCCATAGCTTTTCTTCTCCTATGAAAACAAAATCAAAACCACTTTCTCAACATAACACATGCCATGGTTTCCATTCTGAGGTCAATACATCTTTAAAGTATATCGGCTGATTTTGTTGGACTCTAGTGTCCAACCCGAGAAGGAGTCACCCCCAGAGACCACCTCATATACCACAGCCGATGCAAAAGCATGAGGATTTTATTAATTCTGTCATGACAGGGTCCCTCAGCATTCGGAAAGCCGAGAGACCCCCGACTAGCTGGTACAGTCTACTTTTAAAGGAGAAGGCCCCATAGAAACAAGAGGGGTGTTCCTTGACCATTATGATTGGCTTATTCGAAAAGGGCTAATACCAATAATTGACTGGAGAACTATTGTCAGATCAGATGAGGTAAGAGGTCATTTTGACCCCATTTCCCAGGGGACTGAGTCAAAACATACGTGTATGGGTAATTGTTCAGGAACTGAGTACGTGCATGTGTAGCTGTTAGGTCCTTGGTTCCCAGGGGAGGAGGGGAAGCACTGAGGCACAGAGGCTGAGAGGGTTTGGAATTGTCAGAAATGGCTTCAGAATTGTCTAAAATCTTACAATTTAATCTGTAGTTTTTTTTCTTCTATCCAGTGTCTCTTCTGAGCTGTTGTTCCTTTCTCAATAGCATTTAGAAAAATCAAAGTTAGTAAAACATTGTGCAATCTATTTCTGGGGGTGCTGTGGGACAATGGTCTTGTACCCTGTCACTTGTATTGTTTTAATAAAACACTGATTGACCTGTAGCCAGACAGGAAGTATAGGCGGGGTAACCAGGTAGGAAGTAAAGGCGGGGTGAGGAGAACAGGGGAAATTCTGGGAAGAGGAAAGACTCAGTCTACAGTCATCACCCAGACACTGAGGAAGCAAGATGAGTATGCCTTGCTGATAAAAGGTACCAAGCCATGTATCTAACACAGACAAGAATTATGAGCTAATTTAAGATGTAAGAATTAGTTAATAAGAAAGCCTGAGCTACTAGACCAACCAGTTTATAATTAATGTAGACCTCTGTTTCTTTGGGACTGAATGGCTACGGGACTGGGTGGGACAGAAACCTCAGTTAACATGGGGTTATTTATTATACCTTTTTGTTTATTTAACATATCCTTTAGAGTTTGAGTTGATCTTTCTATAACTGCCTGCCCTGTATGATTGTATATATTGCTTTATATGTATAATATGCTTTATAGTATAATAAGAAAAAAACTGTTTTATTTTCTTAGAGACATAT